AATCTTGTAACAACCCAAACCAGAAAATAAGTATTTCTGGCTTCCACTACTGAGTCACTTTTAGTCAAAGGGTTTGATAATTTCTGCAGACTGGAAGTAAGCAAGGTGCTCTACCAGTTGAAGTACCTAATTAAGATGAGGTTATGAATCATGAATGAGAAATTAGCCTTCTGCTGAGCACATCTATGAAACACTTGCTCATATTGCCATCATCTTTTTTGTTTATACAAAGGTATTAATTATGTTGCTGGGACGTGAGGTAATTCAGGAAACATTCGTAACATACAGGGCACTACAAATTCTCAGGTAATGCTAAAATACTGGTAACACCTAGATGGGGGGAATTTTAGAGCAAATTTTTGTTGCACCGCTAGCTCATGAGCATCTGAGTTGTTTCAGCAGTTTAATTCGGTGCCTTTCTCCTGTTAAAATTTGAGACCTGCCTCATAAATCAAATGAAGATTATAACTTTAAGGTATTGTTTTTTCATTAAACCTCACAAATGAGTGATTTTGAAATTTGCGAGATCTTCTAAGTTTTACCTAGTTTAATGAGGGTTCTAATGTTTTATGTAATTTTTTTTAAATTTAAAAAATGGTAAAGGTAGTGTTTTGGTATTCAGTAAAGATACCTAATGTCAGGAGATATTACACATTTTTGAAGGAGGAAGAGCTAGTGATTTATCACTGTGCCTTATGATCCATTAGTACTTTTTCTGGGAAGAAAATACTGTAACTGCTAAGCAAGATGGAGATACACACTGTTATTGTTGAAGGTAAATGGACAATGCCAAGTATTTTATCACTGCTTGCTGTTCCACTGGATTGTTTTTAAGCAGTAGTAAATTCCTGACTGATTGGATTTAGTTTACACACGACGCGGCATAAGGGAAAACGTAAAATGTGTCTTGTACTGTAAGAATGGTAACTTCGCATTATTGAAGGAATATCTAGTACTCTTAAATTGTTCCTATCCAAAAGAGCATGGTATTACTTCCTCTTGAGTAAAAGAATGTAACAAACAATACCTTTTGTGGGCTTAGTGTTTTCCTCCTGGAGTCAAGCAGCAGTGGAGAGACAGCTAGTCATTTGTGCTCTGAAATCTCCGAGATTGTTGAAGCATAACTGCAGGGAAGATACTTTGACTTGTGAAAGGATGGGAACACCAATTAACAATTCACTCTAATGTGTCTTGGTATTCAGCTGATGAAGAGTATATCCCTTAATTTTTTTTTCTTTTTTCTTCCTTTTTTTCCTTAAGGAAGAAAGTAATTTAATGTAGCTATGATTTTGCTGTTTGTTCAACGTTTAGGTGGTGTCCCCCCATCCTCACTGTTTTCCCGTGAAGAGATTTTCATTGCTGGGTGTCTCAGCTGAAGTTAGCAATAATCAGCAGATCCGAACTTCCTGCTTATAGATGTTCTCTTCCCCACCCTCAACTCAGAGCTCACAAGGAAGGACAGTAAAGAAGGAAGTTCTGAATCTTTTAACTTGGATGAGCACAAAGTCTTACTTTGAGTTGAACTAAACCACTGGAAAAAAGAAAACAGAGTTGAAGCGTACCTGCTTATTAGATAATCAAATGTTGGTTATTTTGTTGTAACTTAATAGTATACCTGTTGGTTTTCCCTCATCAGGTTTCCCTGTGTTACTGTAGTCAGTCTCCTTAAGCCAGCCTTAATTTTCTGCAGTGTGTGAGCTGAGAGTAGAATCCTGAATGAGGGACAGGTTTTCAGTTTGTTTCTGCAACATTTTCCATGCTGAAATAGGAGCAAAGTGACATAGTAACTGCCACTGTGGAAATCCTGTTGTACAGCCTGATGGGACCTATGGAGTCATGCTGAGGCAGTAGTAGCCTAAATATTCTAGTAAGTTCAGTCTGGTAATGTAGTGCTCTGCGGTGGTGTGGGAGGTGAAGCTGAAAATGGACAATATGGACAATGAGTTGGGTGGACAGTGAAGAGATGGAAAGTAATAGGAGCCTTGGGGTAGAAATCCTATTTTCCAATTACTGGTTATAATATCAGAGCTCTGGTTTGAGGAGTGTCATCCCATTCGCTGTCAACAGTAAGGTGGGGAGGATATGTTGATGTGTGTTTATGCATTTCTTTGCTATCTGTATTTCCATCAACATAATCATCCCATATAGATACATAGCATTTCTAGGACACTGAAGCTAAACAGAATGAAATTGGGGTATAGTGGGCCCACCTCTGAGGCTTTTTTTTTTTAGCAATAGCATCTTTTCGGTCTTGACCAATAGCTGATTTTGTAGTTTAGGAGGGAAAATATGAGATGATGGAGGAGAGAGGAGGAGCACACCTGGAAATAAGTAAGACTGACTTATTCTGAACATTTCCTGAAGCGTCATGTATCAAAGTGTACATCAGTCTGTTGGCAAAGAAGAGATCCACCCCCTACCTTCACTTGGTTTGACCCTTTTTTCCTGACCAAGAATGGTGCCCCTTCATCTTCTGAAATGGAATGGGCAGATGTCTTTGAATCAAATAGACATTATATAGCTAAGGTCCTTGCAAGCTCTGGAATTTGCAATTAAAAGGAAAATTTCAAAGCATAAGCAGGAAATAAGTGTCATGCTTTGTATGCATAGTGCAGTTTTCTTTTTAAAAAGCTCTTGTAAAATTAGTCTACTGCTTACAAATATGTTAATATTCCCATCTTTGTGAAGACATTCTATGTGTTTTAAAGCCAATAAATAGCAAGGTGGCAGTCATTTTGAGGAAAACATTTTACAAAACTTGATGCTGCTTCTGTCCCGTAGCATCTCATTGCATTTCTCTTATTTTTTTAATCTTATTGTCAACTTTGTTTTGTTGTTGCCTTAAAAAAAGGAACGCTGGTTAGAGTTTTGTGTATCCCCAGAGAACTAATGCATCTTTCTTTCAGGGTTTTGTTTTGGATGCAAGTCTCTTACCCAACTTGAGACTTAATTCAGATTTTTCTTTTAAAAGCAGCTGTCCTTGTGTTTCTGGTATCTTCTCTATAATGAATATGTCTTTAAGTGAAGTTACTTAGAGTCATAACTCTGCTACGGAAAGCTTATAAAAAGTTGTTTGAGTTTCAAGCAAACTATGTTCTCATTAGAAATATGTCTGAGATTTGAAGGGCATACAGATTTCATAACTGAGCCCAGTCAGAGTTGAACATACCTGCTGAAACCAAACATCAACTCTTCAGACAGGCCACACAGTCTTTAGATTGCACCAGAGATTTAGCAATGCACAGAAAGCTGAGAGGCTTCCATTTGAAATTGTAACCCTAGTGATTGCTGCTGCTTCTTCATAAAAAGGTGAAAAATAAGCCTAATTTCTTTGGTAAAATGGCAGAAGTTCACAGAACCAAACAATACCACTAGCCTTGTATGCTGTATTACTGAGTGGCCATAAGTCATTTGTGCCTTAATGTGACTAACTTAAAAAAAAAGCAGCCGTCCTGCTATATCCTACTGTGTCAGAATTCAAGACAAAGAAGATTGGAGTAGCTTATTTTATAATTTGCAGGTCTGCGATAATGGGATGTCCTATCCTGTGGAATTTTCTACCATTCCACACTGAGGTTGTCAGTGTGCTTTAATTTTCACAATAGCAGCTGAAAAAAACCTACCCTTGGAGACCATGCAGTGCTGCTCTTCTGTGGAGAAGCACTAATGTAAACTGTGGGCAGTCTTGACTTGACAGCTGTGCTGACAAACCAGAAAAAGATGCTTTTTGCACTAGACAGATGTCTAAGTGTTGGAAATTTTCCAGGGAGAAGCAGAAAAGCTTTATTCTTCCAGTATTTTCATGTCACATGAAGTATGGTTTAAATGAAAGGAATGTTTTCTGATGGGGGAATGTTATTGCAGAGCTTTTTAGCATGCAGAGGATTAGCTTGCTAATCACCTCTCTGAGTAACTAGATTCTACCAGTTGTACAGGAAAATTCTTGATGTTGTGAATAGTGAGGCATAGTGATTAAGGAAACTAGTTATTATTTTAACTTCATTTGATATATTTGCATGGCGCAACTAGTGCCAGAATGTCTCCAGCATTTGCATGTATTTTGTTATAATATTTCTCAAATACAGACATGGCATTCATCGATAATTTTATTTTGAGACACACATTGTCAAGAATCTCATCCAAATGAAAAGCAATACAAGGAGAATATTATATTTAAAAATATGCAATACGGAAGACAGCTCTTTACAGCAGAAGCTATACCTGGTATACACTGTGGAATTTTTGTCCTGGAAATTTTAGTCATCAGCATCAGTAATTCAGTAAATGCTGAAACTTGCAAGCAAATTCTTCTCTTGACATAAAACTACACAGTTGATTTTTACAAACTGTTTTTGAGGAAGTGAATAGCCTTTTTTTTTTTTTTTTTTTTGGCATACATAGTGTTCCATAGCATCTTCCATCTTCTATATTTGAATTCATCATAACCCTTTCGTTCTGTTAAAATTCACTTGGATGGTGAAGCGGGTGTTTCTTGTAGCATGCAGAAGGAAGTGATGAACATACAGTCCCATGTTCTTTTAGAGTTGGAGAGCATGATCAAGGATGGCTTATGTCTTGTACTACACTGTTGTACGGCACTGTAAGGCATTCTTTGTGAGGCAGTTGCAGTATTAAGAATATTTTATGCTAAAAAGCAGATGGTCATGGATGCCTAGTCAACTGTGTGAATGTAAAGATGGACTAAGGGTTAGGGCTGATGATATTCCACATATTCACACTTGCTGCTTTATTGAATAGTTGATAACGATGGGCATAGATTTTTTTTAACTTCTTGAAGAGGTTCATGCTTTGAGAACTATTTCAGTTTTGATCCCTGTGCCTGTGGTTATGCACCTCATCTTAACTGAAGCTTCATTAGCAGACTGTTTCCACCCCCCAATTTCAGGATAACAATGAAGAATGTAGGACAGGTTAAACATGCCTAAATTTCATTCCATATTTCACTACGCTGGATGAAGGGTTTGTTTTCTCCTTTTTAGGTACTCTTCCACTCTTCAAGATGGAAAGCTCAGATTCTAGTGATAAAGGAAATATTGATCAATCAGAAGCACAACGTCAGAGTCAGCTAGATCGGTTAGATCGAGAAGAAGCTTTCTATCAGTTTGTAAACAACCTGAGTGAAGAGGACTACAGGCTTATGCGAGACAATAATTTGCTGGGAACACCAGGTAGGTAATGCTTGTGTAGGTACATCTCAGTAGAATTGCTTGTAGGCGATTTGTGTCATTTTCTGTTCTCCTGAAACTGTTTCACCCATTTAGTTTGTGTGCTGCAGTTGTGTTCCATGGTAAGAATTAGCTTCTTGCTAATTTGTGCATACTCAAATTTGAGCGGTCACCTGACTAGTGGAGAGGTAGTTAGGATGATGTGGATTCATCAGATACAAAAGTCTAGTGTTTACACAACTTGGTGGGAATGCCCAGAGTTGACCCAGTTCCAGTAATGGACCCTGAGACATTTTTTGATCGAAAAATAATCTCCTTTAAGCGCTTATCTCTGAAAATTTTGTATTTGTAACTAGGATAAGTAATCTGGTGCAGGATTCTGCATGGGCATTTTTATGTCAGTTTTCAATTGACTTACTACTTTAAATGACTCTTTATAGGATGATAGCCAATTCAAACCAGTTCTGATTTAAAACATGACTTCAACCAATTGAAACCTTTTTTCGTGTTTGTGAAGGTGTTGTAAATATTTTACTCCAGACAGCCATTTAATTGGTACAGGATGATGAAAATTGCTGATGAGTGGTAGAGGTTGCAGAACCAGAAAGCACATCTGTCTCGAATAGGCTGAAACTCTTGGATCTTTCATCTTCAGCAAAACGTACTTGGGACAGTGGTGCTGAAGTGTCTGAACTTCCCCATAGCAACCTGTTTGGCGGTCTCATTATGGCAGGATTTAATTAGAAAAAAAGACAAGCAGTGGCTTGTACCTTCTTTAGAAGCTTTTGATAATGCTTGCCATACATATGATTTGGAAATATTTTTGGAAAATTTTGCTTATTTTCTAAGGTGAAATTACTGAAGAAGAGTTGCTGAGAAGGCTACACCAAGTTAAAGAAGGTCCGCCACAGCAAAACAGTGATGAGAATAGAGGTATATACAGTATTTGTGAAAACTCTTAACTTTAGCACCCCATACGGACCTTAACTTGAGTGCAGGAGTGGAACAAGTTAAGCCTAGGCAGGTGCAAGGTGAGCTTTGTTTCAGAACTAAATGAACGTTATGTCTGATATCTGCTGCAGAGGTCAGTTTGGAACAGATTTCACTCAACACATCTGTTACTTGCATCAAGATAAAGTTTCATTTAGGTCTGGGTTTGTTTGTTGTTTTTTTTTTTTTTTTTTTTTTCTTTAAGATTGCCTTCCTGTCTGCTCCCTTCTGGGATGCTTTTTGGCAGTCCCTCTTTTTTTTTTTATTCGCTATTCTTCCCTTCCAAAGGTGCTGTATTGCTTTCGTCATCACCCTTCTGTAGAGATTGGTGGAGTATGCTTGAAGTTTACCACTGAGGTTCATTCTTTAGTGAGATATATTTGCTATAAAGCTAATCTTTAAGTGAAGGGTCAGGACAAACTTAGTTCTCAATTTAGCAGTAGATAGATCACTTAATTGTTTGGAAAGGAAAACACAGAATATTGATGTGTTATGACACCTGAAATGTGACTTTCCATTTACTTATGATAAAGAGTATATGTTATTTTGATGATCTGTTTGCTATGTGATGGCTGCAGCCTATCTGTTCATATTAGAAAATGTCCACTCCTGCTCCCTTAAAAGAGCTTTGGTAGATAAGAATTGTGGTGGCTTCGTGTGAACCTACAATAGTATTTGACAGGATTAAGCACTTCTAAATTGTCACTAGTTAACTAAGCAATTGTGTTCTTGGAAAAGATCACTCCAAAATTAGCTCAGTACTCTAATTTTGGTAGTTCCCTGTCTTTTTCACAGGTGCAGAGTCTGCAGAAGATGTTTCAAATGGAGATTCTATAATAGACTGGCTTAATTCAGTCCGACAGACTGGAAATACAACACGAAGTGGGCAACGAGGAAACCAGTCTTGGAGAGCAGTGAGCCGGACTAACCCGAATAGTGGTGACTTCAGATTCAGTTTGGAAATAAATGTCAACCGTAATAATGGGAGCACAAATCCAGAAACTGAGAATGAGCCATCTGTAGAGCCTTCCACCGGGGAGGATTTGGAAAACAGCCAAAGTGACTCTGAAATTCCAAGGTCTGAATCACCATCTGTAAGGCAGCCCGGATCAGAAAGGAGCACTTCAGAGGAGCTAACAACTGAGGAAGCTTCCCCTCCTAGAGGGCAGAGGAGAGCGAGAAGTAGGAGTCCAGAACAGCGGAGAACGCGGGCTAGGACTGATAGAAGTAGGTCACCTATTAATCCAGTGAGTGAGACTCCTCGCAGGTCTCATCACAATACATCATCTCAGACACTTGACCACTCCTCGGTGAATGAAGCTGAGGGAAGCTCTAGAACTAGGCAGCATGTGACATTAAGGCAGCATACAGTGGGGACTGAGATGCCAAGTGAAAATGCAGTTCTGTTTTCAACCCCCGAAACAAGACCTGTGCCTCAAGCAGCGGGCTCTTCAGAAACTAACGGCACCAGTGAGTCCGCAGCACCTGGGCAGAGGCCTCCCACCATAGTGCTTGATCTTCAGGTCAGAAGAGTTCGTCCGGGAGAATATCGGCAAAGAGACAGCATAGCCAACAGAACTCGGTCCAGGTCCCAGACCCCTAACAACACCGTCACTTACGAAAGTGAACGGGGAGGGTTTAGGCGCACGTTTTCCCGTTCAGAACGGGCTGGAGTGAGAACTTACGTCAGTACCATTAGAATTCCTATCCGTAGGATCTTAAACACAGGCTTGAGTGAGACTACATCAGTTGCTATCCAGACTATGCTAAGGCAGATAATGACAGGCTTCGGAGAGCTGAGTTACTTTATGTATAGTGATAGCGATGCAGATCCTAGTGGCCCAACTCCAAATCAGAACATGGATGCTCCTGAGCCACAGAACGGAGCTGGTGGTACTTCAAGCAATGAAAGTGCAGATGTTAGCTCAGGGGAGGTGTATGAAGGCGGTAATGAAGGTGGCTCAACATCTGGTGCCAGACGGGAAGGTCGGAATACGAGGGGCTCGGTCACATTTGAAGAAAGCGGTTCTCTACCATTCCTTAGCCTAGCACAATTTTTCCTACTAAACGAAGATGACGATGACCAACCAAGAGGACTCACCAAAGAACAAATTGACAACCTAGCGATGAGGAATTTTGGTGAGAGCGATGCTCTGAAAACCTGTAGTGTGTGTATTACCGAGTACACGGAAGGCAACAAGCTCCGTAAATTGCCTTGTTCGCACGAGTATCATGTCCACTGCATTGATCGCTGGTTATCAGAAAATTCCACTTGTCCCATTTGTCGCAGAGCAGTCTTAGCTTCTGGTAACAGAGAGAGTGTTGTCTAAATGAGATCTGAATTTATGGCCGAGCAGCTAGTGTGATAGTGATGGGCAAAGAAGTCACTTCCTTTATGGCCACTTTTTGAGTGGTACCTCAATGTATAGTAATGACTTGGAGTGAATCTTCCCTCATGATACCATTTTCTCTCGATCTAAAACAGCAGAAGATTTCTTTAATTAGCGTTTTCAAGTTCTAGACAGTTTGGGTATTAAATTTCACTTGTCCAAAGACATCTACCCGCTTAAAAATATTTTTTTCTTTGTGAAGAGTATTAAGTTCTTTCCCCACCCAGGCCCTGCCATCCCAGTCCAATAAACATTTTGTCCTCAAGATTGTGCTTACGAGGAGTTCTTTGAGAAGTCGTCCCAGCTAAACGTACATGAGTTGTAGAGGAATTTTTGCAAGGAATCCAACTATCTGAAAAAATAATACGAACTGAATTGCACACTTGAACATAGTTTTAGTTTTCATACTGGGTTAATATTGGACATGGCTGTGTAAATAACACTAATGTTAGCCCTTTCCCCATCACTATGGCACGCTGTAGGATGAGCTGTTAGCTTAATTGGGATATTTATCTTGTTGTGGAAATATAAGAATTGCCTATGCTTGTTTAAATAAAAACAAAAAAATTCTGTTTTAAAATTGTAAAGCTTTTTTGTAGAAGCTCAGTACTTTTCCAATGCACTGTTGTACTAACGCATTAAGAATTAAAATTGTACCATGCTTAGAAATCAAGAATGCTTTTCATACAAAACCCACCACACAGAGAGCAAACGAAATACAAGAGAGCTGCTTTTGTAACTGTGTACCTGTCAAGAGCAGTGCATATCTGTACTATTTATGTGAACAGCTACTGTAATATAAAAACAGTTGAATTAGACATCTTAATTGCATTAAAAAAATGGAAAATAAATGTTATAATTGCAGTGTTTTGGCTTAGTAATGCCACCAAAAAAGACGATAAAAATTAGAAACTGTTCTAACGGCTGGTTATTTCTTGGTATGGTTGCTAATATGTAATAATACAAACCGGTCTGTACCAGTTCATTCAGTGAGGTTTCTGCCCAATTTTTCTATCAACTTTTGCTTTAAATTTTTGAGGCAAGTCTGTGTAACTATTCAGCAGACCAGTATTGGCAGTTTGTTTGTGTTTTTGTTGTTTTTTTTTTTTTTTTTTTTTTTTTAATTCCCCACCAGCTTTAACTATATTGGTAACCTCTGGATCTGTTGAGTGAACATGTTGGTATATTCATGTTGGTAGCCTGTGACTCAAATGCCACAGAAAAATAACTTGTATATTAACTGGAAAACAGATTATTCGTGTGTTAGGTTAAATTTTAAAATTATACTTGATTATGGGAATACACTTAAATGTGTAGCCGATTCTAAGAATAACATTTAAAAAACCTGACAAACCCTTTATACTCCTACTGGACAGATTAATTTACTTTTAAAATTAGGTGCATGGCATATTGAAATTGAGAATTGGAGAATGTACCTCAACTCTCATCAGTGTCAGGGGAAAACATCCTTCACCCTCAATAACCCATTCTTTGTTTTATTCTCTAATGATTTTTTTTATTTTTTTTTTCCTAGCTTATATGTGCAACAGGGGAAGCAATGTTTATTTCGACTCCAGGGCAGTAGTTATGAAGGGATATGAACTGCTCTTGGTGGCTATATGGGAAATGTTGCTTGTTCCTCAGATGACGAAACCGAAGCTGGCCTATCTCTTTCTCCTAATTAAAACACATTTTTGGTGTTTTATAGTGGTGGTTGCCTAAACAATAGTCTCTGCTCTAAGCCATTTTAACATCTCATCAGCTAGTTAAGGATTCCACAGTGTCCCAAAATTCCACATTTCTTCTACATGTGCGTTTTGCGGTGTGTGGTTCCGTGGGAAACCCCGACTGGCTGTTGAGCTTGCTTTCCTCCTGGTGGGACACGCCATCGTGGCAGAGGGGCGACGTGTGTTCTCTTTAGACAGAAGAATAAGTAAGCTAATGTTTTTAAATTTTGCCTTCTGACAGGCATCACTGCAAAATTGGAAGTTAGCTCTTAATTTCAGGTGCTGGACTCTATGCCAAAATTTCCTCAACAAAATAACACTTCTGAATTTCTTCCAGTAGCATTCACATAGCATATACATGCTATCGCATCGTGGTTTACGGTAGCTTCACTGACTTGCTGGAGTGTAGAATTAGAAGGAAAAAAAAACCCTCTCCATGTGAATACCATGTTAGATTTTGAAAGTCTGATGTACATCTCTGAGGACTAAGGCTGGTGATCAGAAAGAAAGGAGCCCACTAGTGCTAATTAATGTGAAGCACAGCTGTGGAACTGTCATTCAACGTAGCTTTCTTTTTAATGTTCTGAGTTTCCAGTAACTGTTCGCATTGCTAGAATCAACTTTACAGCTTTATAATAGTTTAATAGTGGCATGCCTTAACATTTTATCATTCTGTAACAATAGCGACTAATAAAATGTTGGAGGTTTCCCAGATGGTATCAAGAACAAATAATTTAACCTCAGTTCAGGAGACTTTGAATGTTCTCAGTATTTTATATGCCTTTTCCAACGCTAAAGGTGCCGGGGGTTCATTGTCTGATGTCTGGAGGAGTTGGCAGAAATTAAATTGCTGATACAGCAAAGACCTTTTTATGTAGCTGAGTCATCTGTCAGCCACTGTGGTAATTCAATTTCTGTTCTTTTAAAGTTAGATTGGAATTGGGAAAGGCCAATATTAACACTTCAGTTGCTAACAAAATATGAAAGACACTAATTAAGCAAGGTTCACAGTTAGAATAATTTACAGTTTATGAATCCTTTTGGTATTGAGCATTTGTACTTAGCACTTCCCTCAATTTACACTTTCTTGGGATTACAGGAGGGATGCGGCCACTGGACTGGTGCTTGTAGCCATATGAAGGGTTAAAATGGCCAGTTTTGTTATTTTCAGAGGCTTGATGGTGCAGAAATGATGAGTCTGAAGAGGCAGCCAGCCTTCCTGCAGCAGCTGCCTGGTTCACAGTGCCACCGTGTGGGAGCCTCTCGGCCGCCTTCAAAGCCGGGGTCACGGGCTCCTCGCTTGGAGCAGCATGGTTTCTTTTGCATTGAAGGCTGGTGCTTTATTTTATTTTTGAAGGAGGTTCCTTGTTATTGCCTGCCTCGGTAGTTATCACGGTGTTTTTTTCAAACTGCAAACCACCCAAGCTCCCCCTGTGAATATCTGTCTGGTGTGTGAGCTTAATTCCTTTTTGACAGGACAGACCTGTACCCACAGGACCTCTCCACACAGCAATTAAAGCAGTCACGAGGCCAAAACCTAGAAGAACGCACAGTATTTTTTACTTAAAAGTGTGTTTGATAGTTTAACTCCGATTGTGAACCAACACAGAGTTCTGGGTGCTTGCATTTTTTTTTTTCCTTTTTTAATTGGGATTTATCTGTTAAAAGACTGTGAAGAGTTATTCCTGGAGTTTGTTAGATTTCCCTTTCACGTGCACTTTTTTATTTCTTTGAACGAGTTGGGTTTTTTGCAAAGAACTTGTAGGCAGTTAATTGACTTGGTTTTAAAATGATTTGATTAGTTTAGGTACTGCATGCCTAGAAATTACTCAATAAAAGTTTAAAGGCATTTTGTAAGAAGTATGGATGTGCAGGCACAGCAGCTGCACTGACATGATACTGTACCGGTTTTGAAGGAGCCATAATTGTCCATTGTGTCAACTTGCAAGCGAATGGGTTTCCCACCAAAGTTGGCACAATGGACCATAATGACTGTCATTCCGGTTTCCTGTCACTTGTCTGGATTATGCAAATGTGGAGAGTCCAAAGGACTGTTTCCCTGGTATATCTGCAGTCGATGTTTATCTAGACATGGTTGCCTACCCAGCGAGGAGGTTCCCAGTGGTCTCACAATAATGAGGGTCTAGTGGGAAGATGAGCAAAGCCGCCCATCGGTCTCTTGACTTTTAGCAGTGCGATGGGGGGGTTTCCGAATCTCCCAGCGTGATCATCACCGTCACACCTCAGTACAAAGCTTCACCCTGTCGGCTTAGCTGCAGCCTTAGCTTTAATTTGGGATCCTTTTCATTAATGTGTACATTCGTGTTAACTGTCCGATGTCTCGGTTTTCTCACCGGTCATCCTTGCTCCTACCGCGGGGGCTCGCGTGGCTTGAGTAAGGGTACGTAAGCGAGCGTGGGGCTGAGGCAGTCCGCAGCCGCGATGGAAATGTCTGCCTGCTCCTCTGCCTGCTCCCAGGAGGAGGTGCCTTGGATGAGGGTTGGCTTGGAGCCACGGTAACAGAGTTTCTAACGAATTCAGAAATATTTCCAACCCTTACATACACTAGGTTTTTTGTTTGCTTATCCTTGACTAGGGAGGGAAGAAGGAGGGTGAAGAGGGAATCAATGGTAACTTACCCAAAGTACATATAAGTTGTGTTGTGTTAAAAAAAAAAAGAAGTTTGAACCTGTTATACCAGGGCTTCCCAACCTCTTTTTGATATGAGGTATCTCTTTTTTTTTTTCTTCTTATTCTTATGGGGAAACATACCATTGAATTTGTTTTGATTGTTTTATCTGGTTTTGCTCCCTTAAGCTAAAATACCCGAGACCCCTTCCTGAATTTCACTATCTGCTAGAAAGGCTGCTGGTTGGGAAGCCCTGACTTCAACTGAGAATGTAACAGTTTTCTTTTTTTTTCTCTTTTTTTTTTTTTTTTTTTTTTTTTTTTTTTTGTACAGTGCTTTACATCTGTTTATACGGGACTTGTTTAATACAAAATGGTACTCTGAGGTCATTGGACAACAGTTTGACCAGATTTGATAGCTAACATTTAGGAGGAGTTTGTTCCCTATGTAAGATGTCATAATGCAAATTTAAATAGACTCAATAAAATGCATGAAGTGTTCATTTTGTGCTTGATCATCACTCCTTGGGTTTATTCTTCTTACGGTGGGAATGCGCTGGATTAAACGACGGTGGATGTGGTAGGAATTTATTTCCTCTGTACGCCTTTTCCCTTGAGGCCGGGCAGAAAGGAAAGAGTCGGAATGGTACAGGGTTCTCAGAAGAATTTATTGCTCCTTAGTACATAAAACTGAAGCAATAAATCTCATGATGTCCCAGACTTCTGTAAATCTGTCAGTGGATAATGTGGGGTACCAAAGCGGTGTCTGCAAGTTGGCTTTCGAGTAGTAGCTGTGACTTTTACGAGTGCCCGTCAGTACCAGGGCCCGGTGGTCGGGGCCAGCAGGGCTGAGTCTCCCTGGAAATACACTTGGCGGTGTTCAGTGGCTTTTTGAGAAGCTCTCCCGTACGGCTGAAAGCTTCATCCTAAAATTAGTAGCTGATGTACGTGCAGATGCTTACCTGAGTGGGAAGGAAATTCTTTAGGGCGTGGGAAGCTGTCTTTATTGTCAGCACTTCCCTCACCTCAACTCCATTCCTCGAGTAGGAAGTGGGGGAGCCGCTCCCCGAGAGCGGCTGACACCGCAACAAAAGAAGGGGCAGGGAGGTGATCTATAGCTTGAAAACACGCAGCGCCCGGTGTTTCGGGTGCCGCGGCAGTGGGTAGCGGTTTCACAGCTGGGCTGGTGCTCGACAGCACGGAGAGTGATGCTCCTGTTCGGGGAGGAGGAAAGCCGTGGGCTTCTCCAGGGATGCGCCGAGTCGGGATTCTGCTCCCGCTTCCCTCTGTGGGGAGAGCTCTTGGATAAGGGTGGGTTTTGTGCGCCCGTCCCACGTGCTTTGTCTCGATCTCCCGTGGTCCGTCTCGCTCTGCAAGTGTACGGTTCAATCTGGAAGCGTCTTTAACAGAGGCGTTAATTTTTATTTCAGTGACTTCGTTCACGAAGTGGTTCCCACACTCTCGGTACCGGGAGCTCTTCGCCAGGTCGCCAGCCCCGCGTCTCCGCCAGGCAGTCCTTCGGTTTGGGTAGCCCTTTATTTCTTCCTTAAAAACTGTCGATCAACCCCCAAATTGCTTAAAGAGTCCAAACCAACCTTGGAGCACGTGCGCGGCTGACTTCATCCCTATGTTTGTTTTCTTTAATATATTAGAGATCTTTGTTCTGGCCTGTAAAACTTTATATAACCTTGTTCCTCCCTCTCGATACTTAAACCCTGAAACCTCTCACGTTGTCCTACTCCTCTCTTCAAGGGTGTATTTCCATGGCAGATCCAGACCTTCACAGGGGAATGTGTTTGGCCGTTTTGCTGGTCCTGCTGCTGGGTGGGAGAAGGAAGGTTGTGTTTGGTGAACCTGTCCTTCCCTGAGCGATGGTGCTGCAGGAATCCCCATGCATGTGGGGGCTTCTCACCTCCAAAAGGGCTCTTCTGACCGCTCCTCGGTGGGATCGAGTGTTTGGGAAGAGAGAGTTGCGGAGAGAAGTGAAGGCTGGCCGCTGCTCGCCTGCCCTTCCCAGCAGTTTCAAGTGTGATTGAACCTGTTTCAGGGCTTTTAATATAATGAATATAAACTCAGCTCTGTTGTGGCTCCCTAAACCCTTACAATAAAGTTATATAGGGAAAACTAAACCCACTTTTTAATCTTAAACTGGAGGGGCATTGTCTCTGGCACTAATGAGATGCTGATGCTGCATGCTCCAACTGTTCCCCTGAATAAATCCCCTGTTAAGCGGAGCATGTGAAAAGCCAGCCATCAAGTCCCCTCAACAACGATTACTTCATGAAATAGGAGTCATCCCATATTTCCTGAGGGTTTCTCGAGTTTTGGCACCCTACGCCAGCAGGGTCCTGGGTTTTCAAGGAAAAAGCAACATCCTTGCGGGAGCTGGACGGGGGCTGCGGCTCCGGCAGCACCGGGAGGGGAGCCGGCCGGGCTCCTGGTTGCCAGCAGTGGGTATTTTGGTTGTTTTTTTTTTTTTTTTTTTTTTTGCACAGGTTTGATTTCTCAGGATGGATTTGAAGAATATGATTTCTCCAGGCCGAAAGTTTGAGGCCGGTGGATTTTTTTTGCTCTGGAGTGGTGGCTTTGCTCATTGTGATGGGTCCTGTAGACACACCACGAAGCAAAAAGTGCCTGGCTTGGTTCTTTGGTGTTAAGACCCGCTCTAGTCTTTCCTTTCGCAGCAGTGACCTGGCTCTGAGGACACTGCCTCAGACCAAAACCCCGTGTTCTGCCCTGTGCCCACAAAGCCAGACCTTGCCTGCCGGCTGCCTGGCGGTTTTACTGGTACTGGAGGGTGTTAGGGGTGTGAAAACTCTTGAAGCGATTTCAGGAGCCCGCAGGGTTCATCTCCTGACCCCAGAGCCAAAATATCTGTGCCAAGATGCAAACGGAGGTGGGACTGCTGCGCGCCTGCCCGGGGCATCGCTCACTGCCGGCCGAGGGGAAGGCAGGGCCAGGCAGGTGAAAGGCAGGAAAATACGCAGTGGAAGAAATAGTTTAATCTCTGTAGGTGCTGCTCTGATTTCTAAATAAACTAAATAAATCCTAGATAAACTTGGAAGTGTTTCGGCTTTTGCTGCTGGCACCTTTGGGATGACCTTGCTTTAATTTTTAAAGATGGAGCTAAATAAACTGAAATATTTGTGGGAGTGGGGGGAGGCTGGGGAATACCCTGAAAGCTGATTGCTGTCGCCTGGTGTCCGAGCAGTGCTGGTTGTGCATCTTCCCTGCACGCACGGCACGGCCAGGAGGGAAAGGTGGGAAATGATGGCAAGGGGAGGAAGGACCCAGGAGGGGAATGGAAAGAGAAGTTGAGTGAAAAGTGAAGGAAAGCTAAGGAAGGGTAAAAAAAGAAAAAGCTTTTTGAACTGTGCTCATCTGGGTGGGATCGGGAAAAACATCAACACAGGTGGAAGGAGAATACGGGCGGGAACAAAACTGTGGAAGAAGAATACACAAAACTGTGGGGATCCTCAGGGTCTGGTTGTGAGGATGTAGAGCAGGTCTAGAAGGAGAGGGCTGGGGGCCGCGGTCCGGGGCCCCTTGGGGGCCGAGCGGGAGGGCGGCAGGCGCTGCTGGGGGTGAGGTGGGGTGGCCCTGCCTGAGCGAGGCTCCAGGTGAGACGACGGCAGGTTTCTAACCATAAAACCCCGCTCTTGGGTGGAAGAGGTGCGTGCCAGAACGCTCGCTGGAGCCTGCGAGGGTGGCGAGGCGGGGGGGGACACAAACACACACACGCGGGGCCCCACCGGCATCCCACCCCGCGTGGGCTGTTCACACAACCCTGCCGAAAAAGCCCCCGAACCCTCCCCGTGTTTCCAATGCGGGATCGAGCGGGGCTGCAGGTGATTGGGAGAGACTTGTTTAGTGCATCTCTTTGTGCCAAAAAAAAAAAAAAAAAAAAAAAGAAAAGATAAAACAAGCATACCCTGAAGCCTCGGCCAGGATAAAGCACGCATAAGAGAACGGGTCCAAAAGCAATCAGCCCTTCTTGCAGCCCAGTGTGTTTCCCTGTTCCCATACCACCGGGCTGGGCTCAAGCTGCCTGCTCAGCATCGGCCCTGGTGTCAGTGACTCCCCGCCACCGGGACCACGGGGAGCCTGGGCTCTCCCCTCCCTCCCAGCCCCAAACACCTTCTTGTTCCCATTTTCCCTTCTCCTCCTTCTTTTCCACCCTCTGCTGTGCTGCGTCTGCCTTAGAGCTAAGCATATATATTTTTTTTTTTTTTTTTTCCCTTCCCTGCTTTGCCCTGCTGCCAGTATTAAGCGGTTTCCCATACTGCATGGAAAAAAAGCCCCTACAACCCAACCCGAAAGAAAATGCATGCCGAGCTCACCCCAGCTGCAGCCTCTGTGTTTTCCTTTCCTCTTTGGTGGCACATGCCAGTACCCGGGCATGGGTGCTGGGCACCCTGCTCTCAGGGCACCCTGCTCTCGGGGCACCCCGCTCCCGAGGCAGAGGGTCCTGTGATGCCTCGGCTTGATGCCTGAGCAAGAGTCCCGGCAGCCCTGCCGAGCGTGGGTGCGGCTGAACAGCCCCGGGAAGGGATCTTTTCCAAATTATTGCTTTAAATAACGACAGCAAAGCAATGGCTCTAGGAAAGATTTGTGTTTAGAGGCAGAGATGATTAAAAAACAGGCTCCTGCCGCTCGTCAGTGCATCCTTCAAGTCCTTCAGAGGCACTTGCAGGCAGGGTATTTTTTTTTTTTTTTTTTTTTTTTTTTTTAGGGATTATAATATTTAAGTTCTGCAAAAAGAAAACAGATGGAGAAGAAGACAATGAAAGAAAACAAGCCCAGCCCAGAGCCTGCGGGGAGAGGAGCAGAGGAGTGGCCAGGCACAGCACGGGCCCGTGGCCTCCAAATGCCCAGTAACTAATGCAGGCGGTCAGCCTCACCCAACGGCAGCATGGACACACTGCTCATACATATACGTGTGTGTATATATGTATAAATTGAAAAAACAGCTACTTTTAACTATAGACACCATATATGCCATTTGCATATATATATATATATATAAAAACCATAAGTAATTTATAACTATTAAACATTGACATGTGGTTCATATTTAATATATAAAACATACATGTAAATTTTGCATTTTGTAAGTACAAATGTAAACTATTATATATAACCAGCTTGTTTTAATCCACGGTATTTCCATTTTAATGTATGAATAGATACATAAATACTTAACTATTGTGTTATAGTAATGAAAACATCCTTTTGTTGTCGTTGCTGTTGTTTGGTTCGGTCTTTTCCAGTTTGCAGCTTTTCTATTGAAAAACCTCAGGATTTTGCTCTAATCCAAAGTCCTTTTTTGCCCCTCACTTCTTCAACTTTCCCTGTATTAAGGCCAGATCCAGCAGCCTGGCAGGACAGGGGGAGGCCGCTGCGGCTCCGTGCCCTGGGCTCAGCCAGCAGCGAGGCTGAGCGGGGATTCCCAGTGGGCCCATGCACAACCACACCTATGGAGATACATATAAATATATATA